TGTTGTTGTTGTTAGCGAATGGTTATCTGGCAACTGTTTCTGCTTTAATATAGTAAATTTAAAAAAAAAAAAAAGAAGAAGCTTTTTGAGGTTTTTGCCATAGGGTGTAGGGCGTGTATACTCACTGGAGAGACAGTGAGAAGGAGAGTGAGAAATGACTCCCTAGGAGATGGCCGTACTGCATTCCCTTCTCCTCCATTCTCCAGGATTTGGGGCATACTTGCACATGCACCCTGCCTGATTTTCAAGGCACCGGGTCTGAGACTTGAACCGTGTTTAGCTATGTAGGAGTCCAGTGTCTTAACTACCATACACCTCCTGGCCCCTACCATAAATATTTTATATCAGACTTAACTTTTCTGCCGGTAATGGTCATCTGGTTTATAATCTGAGTTTTACTGTTCTTATGGATGAAACGTTAGGGAAAAAAGGCCGTCTCACGGGATAGAAATGCTCACCAGCTGCTTGTCCTCTGAGGTGTCACATGATGTAAGCTCTTGCTTCGCATTTAAAAATCGTGCTTGTTTCTTCCACTGGGTGCTAATGTTCTGTCTGACTAGAGAAACTATAGTTGGAAAAAAATAAAACCTGTGTTCTTTTTGGCTTGCACTTATGATATCAAATACCCATTTTCGACCTACTGAGGCAGTTTTTCCTTAAAAACCAATATGAGCATGCGGTTTTAAAATATGAGTCCCTTGACTCCATGATAGTCGAGCTTTATCCTATGAGTTTGTTTTAAGACCCTATCAATTGACTTTAAAAAAAGCATCATCATTCTTTCCTCACTTATCAGTGCCTATTTTAATAGTATAAATATTTAAAAATATATTATTCACCTTCGTAATCTGACCCAGTGATGTGTCTATTTCCTTTTTTCTCTTTCAGTTTGCCAGAGGGCACATGCACTCACCAGAGAGGGAAAGACAGAGAGAAACATAGAGGGAGGGTGGAAAGAAAAGGGAGAAAGCACCCCCTAATGGGGTATGGTCGCATGGCCATCCCTTCTCCATGTCACCACCCTGTTTGGATTTGGGACATGCGTGCACATGTGCCTGGTGTTTTTCAAGCTGCTACAGCTAGGATTCAAACCATGCAGTCGGCCATGTGGGACCTAACCGTCTTAACCACCAGGCTGTTGTGGTCCACAGTATCTGTTTCTAAGTTGCACTTATGCTAGTTATTCATTTGTTTATTTTTTAAAAATTTTAAAATATGTTTCTTAAAGCCCATTAAGTATTAGTCTATTATAGTTTTAGAAAAATAAGTTTGAAATTAGATCTGTGATTGCCATTTGTCACAAAAAATCATGAATTTGTTTTTTAAATTATGATTCCTGGTTTATAAATAATTACTGTGCATGTTTGTGGGGTACAGTGTGGTTTTTCAGAGCATGCATACAATGTGTAAAATCAAATCAAGGATATAGATATAGTAATTGTCTTCAACATTGGCACATTGTGTAATATTATATATACTTCATAGTAATTTAGGTTTCTTTCTCTGGCAGAAGTATATATTGAATTGTTAGTGGCATGTTTAGTTGGCTGTTGTACGCAGTTCCATAACCTATCTAACTTGTTTACCTGCATTCTTGTGTCTGTTGCTCATTTTCTCCAAAACCCCTCTGTCTCTTGAAGCTTCTGGTATCTACCATTATCTCTCTACTTGTATGTCATCAAGTCCTTCGGTTTCTACTATAGAGTGTGAGCATTCAGTATGTTAAGTGGGGACATACAGTGTTTGTCTTTCATAGCTTAGGTCATTTCACTTAGCATTGTGTCTTGTAGGTTTGTCACTTTGTGTCAAATGACAGGATTCATTGTTTTTATTACTCCATTTAGTACTCCATTGTGTATATGTGCCGTATTTTCTTAATCCGTTCATCAAGTACTATTGGGTACTTAAGCTGATTCCATGACTCATATGGTAGCTTTTTGATAACGTTTTACCACGTGCATAGGCAGGTTGCTCCTTGTTACCCTCTTCTAGAATGTTTCATGGCATATTCATGTATTTTTAATTTTGTCTTTAACATTTATCTCTTCCATTTTCTTTTAACATTATTCTTCTGCTTGATCTTGACTCTCATGGATTTTAATGGACTTCCCATCCCTTTCTATTTCTTTTCTTTTCTTTTTTTTTTTTTGCCTCAATCCCCTAAAACAGTATTTTTGTTCTTCATTTTTCCTAAGCTCACCTTTTTAGTTAACTCCTTTAACATGTTCCACCATTACCAAATTAGCCCTGTCCAAATTTAGGTGCATTACTGAGCATTGAGTACCCTTCTCAATTCTATTCCACTCTCTATGCATTAATACTACCACTCCATAAAATTAGGACTGTAGTTATAGTTGCCTCACTTTTTCATCTCTCTCCAACCATTTACTAATTCTTACTGTTGCTTTTTTATGAAATGTTTCCTCTCTTCTTACTAATATCATATTCTAGGTGATGTTACTTCATAGTTGAGGTACTGACACTTCTTCTAACTGACCCTTCCCTTCCCAGTTTATTTTATGTATGTTTGTGAGTTTCATCTAACATAAAAACTTCATGCAAGTGCTAATACTAAACTGAGGGTCTCACGCATGCATTCCTCAGTCATCCGACAGATACTCAAGTGCCCATCATATGCCGGGCAAGCTTCTCAGAGCCAGACGTACAAATGTGAATAAAGCAGCTTGTCCTAGTCTCCTGCTTGCTTGAAGTTTCCATTCTTTTGATGGGTAAGGATGAGAAGGAAGGTTGAAGTGACGTGTGAGTAAACCAAGGTCATTTTAGTTTGTGATCAAGGCCCTGTATGACGTGATAGTGTGTGGAGAGAGAGTCAGTTTAGCTTGGGTGTCATAGTGCAGTTGGGAAAGACAGGAGAGAAGAAAGTCAGTAAGAAAATGTGCGAAAGCATTTTAATTAGTGGGAGGCTTTTGATGTCTTCCTAAATTTAATAGATATGATGGCCTATACATTAGCTATTGCATACAGATAAGAATTTAGTATATGATCAAAGTAGCATCTCGAGAATCGTGAAAACGAGGTGGATTATTCACCAGTGGCGCTGGGAAGTGAGCTGTCGTATATACTGTATGATTTGTTTGCTTGGTTGTTTGTTCCTTGTTGACCATTTATGCTCATGGGGCAGGAATCATGTAGCAAAGTAGAACTCATATAGAAGAAAAGCGTTACCACTGGAATTGTTGTTTACATTTATTTTTCACTTTTCTTAATCTGTAGTCTCTATACTCTATTCAAGATCGGCAACCAATTTGTTTTTGACCAATTCATATCTGAAAATTTTCAAAGGACCTTACTTTTTTTTTGGGGGGGGGAGGGTCAATGGAATTATGCAGTTGAGTTTCCACATGTGACAGTTAGAAATTAAACCCCAAGCAGTCCTGACATCCCAGGCTGCCCCACACTGGTTGTAAGGTGCAGGGAAAGGTCTGGTCCATGGCCGGGAGTGTGCCTAAATCAGGCAGTCACAGAAAGATAAGAAAAAAGAACTAACTAGAAGCAGAGGCGGGGGGGGGGGGGGGGGGATTCCACTCAAAATACCTTGGATTTAGTTGTGTTCTTAGAAAAAGGGAATTTTTAGAACTTTTTAACTTCTTCATTATAGGCTCTTGATTAACACATGAGGATCTAAGGTCTGGTTGCACTTTTAGGTTTCTTTCTTTTATTTTAGTTTTTAGTTTATTATAAGAGTGTGTGTGCTCTCCAGAGAACTAATGGGGTATGACGGTGGGAGGGGAGTGAGAAATTAGCCCCCAAAGGGATAGCCACACCACAGTCCCTTCTCTTCCATTCTCTCGGGATTTGGAGCACACACATGTGCATGGTGTGATTTCCAAGCTGTTAGATCCAGGACTCGAACCTTGAAGTTGGCCACGTGGGATCCAGCCACCTTAATTAGTACAGCACTGGCCGCTCCAGACATTGGAGATTCTTAAGAGGCTATGACGAGTCATAGTTTCCAGGTGACGTCACATAGCTGACCCCCGTAGCAATACAATTTTAAAAATATCTTTTAGAGAACGCTTTATTCCTTCTGTCACTGGTTATGCGGTCATGCATATGTCAGATAAATCAGGTGCTGTGTTAATGCCACGACTTCTATTAGATGCTTTGTAGGAAAATACTCCTCTCTCCTTTGTGCCTCTGATCTGTTTCAGCCAAATTCGACGTGGCAGTCAGCTGCTAGCTGAGACCCCCAGGGCTGTGCACCTTCACTGTCCAGACTGAAGATACTTCCTTAATCCTTGATTTTTATACTTCTTTGGACACTTTTTTCAAACTTCTAATAGTTGATGGCTTTTCTTTCTTCATAGGGCATTTTCTTGTAGCCATGCAATTTTACTAAGGCTGGCGATCTTACCTTGTGTGTGTGATGGCAAAGGAGCACCCAACAGTCGTGTGACAATGGCAGAACTTCCCACACACTAATGGAAAATCGATAGCTTTCACTTTAACTGAATCAGAAGGTTTTAGTGTTTCTGTATTTCCAGAGTCATGTGATGATTACTATTTTGGTCTAGTTTGCCTGGTTAACTTCTCAGGGGGCTAAAATAAATATTGATTTTTGAAACAGGTATATCAAATCAAAGACAGTACATAAAATGACAGCCTTCCAGCAAACACTCACAGAGCATGCTCTGATTGTTTTGCGAGGTGCTTTGTCAGATTCGGAAACAAGTCAAATGGGGCTCCTAACATCAGGAATCCTTGCGGCTGCTGGGGGATTGTCCCTTTGTAAAAAGGAGCCTCCCGAGTGGCCTGCTAAGCTTTGCCTGGGGAGGGAAGCGTTCTCTAAGACGCTCACTTCACCAGGACTCATCAGGGCTTGGAGTCGAAATGCATTCACTGGCTTAAAAAATTCTTTTTCACAACTAGTGTAAATACTGGTTATATTTAAAGGCTGTTCTTAAGTGTTTATGCATTTCTAATTTTCTTACTTGAGGTTTTTTTCTATTGGTTAATGTAAACTCTTATTTTCTCCCCAGTTTACTCGAAAATGGTCAGTTTGAAATTGTGACAGGTGGCTGGGTTATGGCTGATGAAGCCACCCCACATTATTTTGCCTTAATTGATCAACTAATTGAAGGACACCAGTGGCTGGAAAAAAATCTAGGTACGTATCGTTGTTTTTCCCATTCAGTGGGCTACTTTGGGTGGTTAATGTTGGGGAATGTAAAATGAGGTTCTATTTTATGTTTTTAAAAGTACTAATTTTCCCTGGACTGATTATTGTTGAGCAGTTTTCTTTTTTGCTAATTTATGATGTTTTGTACATGGATATAATATGCGTTGTAAGGTCTATCCTATTTAATATCTATTAATTTTATCTATTCATTGATGTTAGGATTTCTTTTTTTTTTTTTGGTTTGGGATTTTATTTAGATAGTGTCTTGATTATGAGAGGTGAAAACTGAATTTACTAGCTAAACCAAAAATTAAAAAAAAATGACAGAAAAGAAAGGAAAAAATAATTAGTGTGTCACTGGAAATTCTTGAGCTATGGCAGCTTCAGGTAAGGCTAGATCTAGGGGACTCATCTCACGTCGTCTGGGCCTGTTTCTTTGGGTTCTGCCTTTGGCCTCCAGTGTTCTCCCTGGCTTTCTTCACATATTCCGTCAGCTAGTCCTGCACAGCCACGATTCGTACTTTTCTTAGGATTTAGAGGCTCTCTTACTGTTTTCTCTGCCTGACCCAGCTTGGGTGAGGTGCTTATCCCTGAGCCAGTTACTGTGCTCAGAGGTGTAGCATACGGAATCACCAAGTTCTAGTCATTTTGGTGGAAATGGTTCTGGAGAGGGATTTCTAGAGGGCAGGGCAGCCACATCTGAACCATGTAAATGGATTCTTCGTGTGAATGGATCCATGGAATGGGTTCAGTCTGACAAAAGAATCCTCTGATCACAAGAAATGGGAAAGAGATTGCGAGACTGTTAACATCAGATGTCCACTACAACTCACGAAAATTCGGGGCCAATTGAAATCTCTGTGCGATGTAATACTTGCATTTTGCAGTGTTGTGTGAACTCTTCGGGTATTTCATGTATCAACATAAGTTTGTAGTTTTCTTCATGGTAAGTACACATGTTTTTTTTTTTGGAGAGGTTTTTGCTATAGGGCGCGTGCGCTCGCCAGACAGAGAGAGAGACATAGAGACAGAAAGCGAGAAATCACCCCCCAGGGGGGATGGTCACGCCGCAATCCCTTCTCCTCCATTCTCCTCTCGGGATCTTGGGCACGCACGCACACGCGCCCGGCGTGAGATTTAAGCCACCGGGTCCGAGACGCGAACCGCGGTCGACTACGTGGGAGTCCAGCGACATAGCCATTACGCTAACTGCTGGTTCCCAGTACACATGTTTTTGATGGAAGTTATTTCTGGACTTCAGTCATTAAAATTTTTTTTTTTTCTGTTAGGAATTTAATCCCACTCCTTTAATTTTTTCTTTACTTTTTAGTTTGAAATAATTTCCGACTTACAGAAAAGGTGTAATAACACTGCCAAGAACTCCCATAAACCTTTCACCAACAGTCACCAATCATTAACATCATATGCATTGGCTTTACTTGTTTTCTCTTTGCACGCTGGGGCAGTGGTTATTATTACTGGACCTGTTTGACAGTGCTTGCATAGGGAAGAGTGAATGTGGCAGCTCTGAAACTGCTGTCCTTAGACTTTGCCTGCAAGGCTGGCCCTTGACTGGCATACGGGGATTAGATTTCTGAAACGAGAAGAGTGGCCCGCTATTTTTAAATACTGTATGCCAAGAGTGTAGTTTATACGCCACGCGTTTCCCCCGGGATGCTGGGTTCTTAGTACGTTAGGCAGGGAGATTCACATGCCCAGTCCCCAGTAGAGAGTGGACTCTGGTCTCTAGTGCATTGTCTTGGCCCACGACACTTCACGTAAATGACAGTCCGGTGTTGAGGAAGCACGTCCTGTGTGACTCCACGGGGCACTCTGGGAAGCTTGCACCTGGTCTCCTCTGGACTCCTCTGTGTGCCTTGCCCACCTTATCCTTTCACTGTAATAAATGAAAGCAGTATGTGTAAGTTTTCTTAAGTCAGCAAACCTTTAAAAGTGGTCTTCGGGACTTTCTGCACAGTGCCTCTCTTCTTAAACACTTAACTGTTGATAAAGCCACGACCATTCACTTTATAAACCTCCGCTGTGGATTTTATTGCTTTTATCGAAGGATAGCTTATATACAGTATGCTATATACGTTGTATATGTACAAAGTCTGGAATAACTGAAAGATGAGGATTGTATAATGCTAGATGCATAACTGTATCTCATTAATTCTAGCCTATATATTTATAGTGATTACTTTTTACATTTTTATCCTCTGTGAAATTGAGATATATCTTTAGTTGTTGGCTCTTATGGTTGGTGTCACCCAGGTGTGAATGGTTCTACTGACCCCCTTCTAGGTAAAGAAAAGGTGCCAACATCAATATGTCTGTGGCCTGCTGGTTAACGTAGCTAGATCCCACATGGCTGACTATGCAGTTCAAGTCCTGTATCTGGCAGCTTGTAAAATACAGAGTGCATGTGCATGTGTGCCCAAAATCTTGAGCAGAGGAAGAAATGAAGAAGGAATTGTGGCATAACTGTGCCCCATGGGGGTGCTTTCTCACTTTACCTCTCTCTTATCTCTCTCTGGGAGCCCATGCACCCTCTGGCAAATTAAGAAAAAGAAAGTCTTAAATTGTAATGAATTATGGTAACCAGCTATTTTAACTAGTTCTTCCATGTACAGGAAGATGATTTAGACTATTGAAAGGCACATAAGATGAGCTAAAGAAACTTTACTGTTGAGATCGGAGAATAACCCAAAGTGAGTAACAGTGAGTTCCTAGGTTATCCTCCACAGATGACAGGACTGTAGAGTCTTTGAGGGCAGGACCTTGGTTGTGTGTGTGTCCCTGTTTCCTGTGAATTTTAAGCTGTGGCTTTGTAATAACCACGATGTGGCAGAGTGCATCTCTAACCCCACCTGCCTGTGTGCTGCCCTTCCTCTGCCTGGGTGGGCGTGGCCGAAGCAGCTTCCTCCCTGAGGGAGTCCTCCTGGGAGGACTTGCCGAGGTTTAATGCTGAGACGATTTATGGTTTCCTAACCCAAGAGAAGAGACCATAGAACTCTGAGGAGTCTGATCATGTTATGACTTCTTTTTATTTCATTCATCGATGTCAAAAAGTAACCCTTACTCTCTACCAACAGGAGTGAAACCTCGGTCAGGGTGGGCTATCGATCCCTTTGGACACTCACCAACGATGACTTACCTCCTGAAACGTGCTGGATTCTCTCACATGCTCATCCAGAGGGTTCATTATTCTATTAAAAAGCACTTTGCACAGCATAAAACGTTGGAGTTCTTTTGGAGACAGAATTGGGGTATGTAGGGTGTGATGGGTGTTGAAGGTCTCACTTGACCTATGTGTGACTTCTCAAAGGTTATCAACTGAAGCCATGCTGGGCTTTCTTCAGTGTCAGTCTTAAAAATACGCTTATTTTCCCCCAAAGCACTTGTGTCAAGATTCTTTTAATCGACAGTGATGCCAATATTTTTCTATAGAACTCTGTAAGATCTTTTTTTTTTATGCCTAAAGGAAACAAATACATTTAAGGAGTTAGTCTTTAATGATTTATTTATTAAAAAGGTGTGTTTTATCACAAAGTTGCACAGGCGGTAGAACCAGTGTCTAGTAATTTATCTCACAGTAAGCCAGGGTTCCTTCTTTCTGTTTTTCTTGTCTCTGCATCTTGTAAAAATGCCTTTCAAAACCTTAATCCTCTCCTCCTGGAGTGGCCCTCACATTTCCTGCCCCTCCTGTTGGTACCCCATTCTGTGGGTACCCAGGCTGTCCTGGAACGTACTTCTCCAGCTCTTTGCCCGGGAAGAGGAGACGAGATTTAGGGCCCTTAGGAAACCTCTGCCTTGCCCCACCCCCATTTAATTCAGAACACCTCATTTTTTACTTATTTTTATCGACTAGGTCCTTATTATGAACCATGGATTATGTTGTAGACTTTTATCTACTCTTTATTTAATCTTTATAGCTGTCTTCGAAGTTTGGGTCTGTTATTATTCCTTTTTTATGGTGAAGAAATAGAGGCTCAGCTGTGTGAACCCATGTGCCAAAAAGTCAGGTCCAGAGCAGAGACCTGGTCCTGTGTCTGAAGCCCCACCCTATCCCCGGGCCTCTGGAAGACTGATTGTGTTGTAAAACAGTATTCACAGATTGCTGCATTGTTTTAGATTTACTTCCCCTGTAATCTAGACCCCTTAAGTAGTTCAGAAAAGTCATTCCTAAATCTAGACAATAACTTTATCTCAAATGTACTGCTATTTTGTTTCTTTCAGTAAAGAACTTAATTAGCTGTGTAATTTTTCATTCTGGAAAATTAAACCTGGAGGGAAAACAAAAACTTGTTAGATCCCCCCATGGAGCTTGATCAAATGTAAAGGAACTTATTAATTTGAAAAATAAAGGATTGTTCATTTGAAGAAGCCCTACATAAGCAGATAGCGCAATGATTAAGTCACTGGACTCCCACATAGTCGACCACCCTGGTTGAGTCCTGGACCTGGCGCCTTAAAACTCATGCTGGGTGTGTGTGTGTGTCCGCCCGCCCAAAATGGCAAGAGGAGACTGGAAGAGAAGGGATTTGGTGTGACCATCTCCCCTGGTGGGTGATTTCTCGCTTTCTGTCCCTCTGTCTCTCTAGTGAAGGCACGTGTCCTATTGCAAAAAAGAAAAACAAAACAAAAAAACCCCAAAAACCTCTCTAAGAAACCTGCATTCAAATTGCCCATACATGTCAGTCAGTAAGAAATTATTGAGTACTGCTATGTGTTTAATACCGTATTAGGAAGATGTATAGAAAACGTCCTTGTTTATTGGAGTCTATAGTGTACTGTGATAAAATACAGACACAGCCGAAGGCCACAGGTAGGGCTGGGTGTGTATACCTGAGCTGCTCAGGAATTGGGCATGGGGGTGGTGTTGCTAGTCCTGGATTCACAGGGAAGGAGGAAGAGTTGCGGCCACTGGGATTTGTAAACCACCCCCCACCACTCCCCTGCCCAGCACATGGCGGCGAGGCTGAGGACCTCCTTGGAGTGCCTCTGTCTGTACCCAGCGATAGCTGATAACACAGAGATAACCCCATAGTTTTAAACTGTGAAACGACAGGTAATGATTTTTACTAAATGGATGAAATTAGAACATTTTAGGACTTACCTGAAGGATTTGAACATGCTGCTTTTTAAAAGGTGTTTTGAATTAAGTTGAGCTCTTTTTTTTTTTTTTTTTTTGGAGAGGTTTTTTGCTATAGGGCGCGTGCGCTCGCCAGACAGACGGAGAGAGACAGAAAGCGAGAAATCACCCCCCATGGGGGATGGCCACGCCGCAATCCCTTCTCCTCTATTCTCCTCTCGGGATCTTGGGCATGCACACACACGCGCCCAGCGCGAGTTTAAGCCACCGGGTCTGGGACGCAAACCGCAGTCGACTACGTGGGAGTCCAGCGACATAGCCATTATGCTAACTGCTGGTTCCCAATTTGTTCTGGTTCTTAATGAAGCAGTTCTTCTCATTTAAAAAAAAAAGGATTTATTTATTTATTTTCTTTGTCTTTATTACAATCATGTACATAACCACTGCCGAACATGGGAAATCTGTACATAAATAAAGACGGGGAGGCACTTAAAGCTCAGGGTCATACTCATGAAGAGAACTGCATTTATCTGCTAGTCAGTCCTGCGGTCTCATTTGGTGGGCTCTAGGGAGTGGGGCACGTGCTGCCGTTGAGGTTCTACTTAGAAACAATTCTGTATGAAGAGTTGGTTCTTGCTCCCCATTCTTTTTTATTCTTTGTTTTTTATTCTTTTCTTCTTTTTTTTTGAGATTGCTAGTTCTTTATTTTTGCTCCTTTCCTGGTGCAGCTTTCCATGGGCTCATCGTTGGCGACCATTGGTGCCTGTGGCCCTTCTCCTGTATTGCACTGTTTTCCTAAGACTGCAGGTGGTGAACAGGAACTGTCCCATGTTCTCCTGAGCTCCTGCCCTCCCTACCCCCCCTCTAACTTTGGTCTTCCAGCTCCCTCCTTCGCCTTCTTCCTCTCTCCACACCAGCCTCTGCAGCTAATGTAGGTCCTTCAGTGTGTCCCGTTCCCTGGTGGAAATAGGTGTGACAGACTGGGTGTCGGATGGACATGGCATGACTTTGGATGACTTGGCTGTAGCTTTTTCATCTTCTAGGTCAGCGGATGCTGCTTGTTCATGAGGGCTTTTCCGGGTCTGCTGTGTTCAGCAGAGGAGGTTAGGTCAGGACTGAGACGTGGGAGTTCCTTCGGCTCGTGGCCGCTGGTGCTGCGGGCTGCATGTCCTGGTGGTAAAAGGGGCTGTGGGCTGAAGGTAGAGCTTGCATTATTTATGTGTAAAGTCATGACATGTTGACGTTTTGGAGAAACAGATTTTATCAATGCAGGCTTGTCTGTTGGCTCTCTGTTTTAGACCTGGGATCTGTCACAGATATCTTTTGCCACATGATGCCCTTCTACAGCTATGACATCCCTCACACATGTGGACCGGATCCTAAAATATGCTGCCAGTTTGATTTTAAACGGCTTCCCGGAGGCAGAATCGGTTGTCCCTGGGGTGTCCCCCCAGAAACGATATATCCTGGAAATGTCCAAAGCAGGTATGAAAATATGTATTTCATAAAGACACGATCTTGAAAGAAATAGCTGCTCAACTGCTAGTTGCTGGAAGGTCGAATAAATGGGCTTTGGTAGCCAACATTATCCTTGTTCAAGGTATTCACGCAAGCCAGATCTAAAGCAACCTAAAAATGCCAGATTGACTGGACTCTGACGTGGAAACTGAGCAATAGTAGATCAGTGTACAGTGGATAACCTATAACACACTATTACTGCCATCTCTTTGCCTTCATTACAAAACCCTTCCACTGTTTGAGTGATTTCATATACTTTTGTTGATTATAAAACGTGTGGTCCCTATTGTAAAATTGGTACGAAAAGCAACTCAACTGCAAAAAACACATTTATTGGAATGGAACGTATAAAGAATGTAATTATCTGTTCCCTTAATAACAATTTCAATAATAGTGAAGGCCGACTAGCTCTAATAAATGCACATCTTTGCCTCTTTCTGATGTTTTGACTTACAGAAAACTTTAATTATGAATATTGATACTTAAATTCAATTAAATAAAAAGCAAAGGAGTGAATCTTTGCTCTAGAAGAAAATTGTACTAATAACGGGAGCAAGAAACCTATAGTTTCTAATTTTGGTGCTCTTAAAAAGTTTAATGTATTCACTTAAAAATTATTGGTGTATAAATGCATTAAAATCAAACGTTGTGTTGTAATATAACAAACAGTAAACTCTGCTAGGAAAACAATATAGCCTAACACGACGGTGTTAGCATGGCCCCTGTGTTGAAATCTGACTTTCATAGTTTCCAGAAGTCTGAAGTTTAGAGCCAGCCTAGCCTCATTTTCTTGCATTTTCTACAGTAGTGAAAAACGGCAAGAAGCTCTGAACAGCCTGCTCTCTAGGGTTAGGCTAGTTAGGCACAAGAGCTGGTGTGTCCTGTCATAGGCATGGTGACATGGTGGCGGGGCACTTGCCCGTCCGCTTGGCAGGCAGCTGATTGTATCTGCAGGCACCGTTACTGCCCCTCTTCTCCCAGGAGGTCAGGGCTGAGGACTTCTGTGAGGTTAGCCAGGAATTTCAGGTTTTCTTCCTTTAAGGTTACCCTGAGACATTGTGCCCTCTTTTCTGGGGGGATGCTGCTGAGAGACCTAATGGAGGGACATAATTGGAATAAAAAAAGCCGTTTTGTGTAAACCTTGCATGATAGCATGTAACCAGTCAAAGATTGCACTCCAGGGACCACCCTGTACATGATCAGTCCCTGTGTTTCTGCAAGGCAGTTCCCAGGCACCTGGGGGTGGATAGACGAATGAATCTATATAATGTTTACATAGAATTTTTAAGAAAGCCTATTATCAACCCTAATTGTTTTGTTTGTTTGTTTTTTTAAGTTTTTGCCATAAGGCAGGTGCACCCTCTGGAGAGAGAGACAGAGAGAGATGGTGAGAAGTAATGTGTGAAATGACCCCCCTCCACCCAGGAGGGACAGCCACTCCGCAATCCCTTCTCCTTCATTCTCTGCACAGGTTTTGGGATGCACACACATGTGCTAGTGTGATTTTGAAGCCACCAGATCTAGGACTCAAACCGTGGTTTCAGCCATGTGGGAGTCCGGCAACTTAAGCACCATGCTACCCACTGGCTGTCAGTCCTAAAGTGTTGACTGTACTGATAACATCACATCCAGTTATCACCTTGTTTTTGACCTGGTGAGGAATAGAGATCCAACATGGACATTCCATTTTTCAACTTGTAAGACCCCACGGGGATGGAATTCAGCTGTGGTGTGTGGATGGCATGACTCACTCTACTTTGCAAATAATGAAATAGCGTTTGTTTATCAATTTTATTTTTTGACCTAGCACCACATACTTTAAGTTGTTTTTTTGTTTGTTTTGCTTTGGTTTTTCTCTTATTGAATATCAGATGATTTGATGTTTCAGCCGTATTTTTTCCTGGTGATAGTTCATTTAAAATTTCTTACCGATGAAAGTTCAGAGCGTGTTGTGCCTGCATGTCTGTAAATGTGCTGCCGGGCAACCGATTTGCCATCAGTGTGCCGTGTTTTTAGGGAGTGTCTGCTACATGCCAGGTGGGTAGGCTGGTCACTTGACTTTTTAAGTGTTGACATTTTCTGAGCAGGGGCTTGGGAGCTCTTACAGATGCCAAGTGTAAAAGACGGCCATCAGTGTGATTTCTGTTTGTGCATTTTACACACTGGTATACTGGACAGAGTATATCCAGTAATACTTTTGAATATTGGCTGCCGGGGGAGTCTGGATGCTCCGTCATGGCAGATCTTGGGTCTGTGATTTATACATTTGATTTATTCTTGTTCCTTTGGGTCTTATATCTATTTCTGTGTAACTAATCTCATTCATGTGTTTCATATTGCTAATAATACTTTAAACTTGTTTTTAGTAAGTATGGAATATTAGTAAAATACTAGGAAAGATTAAGTATGATGCTGAAGGCTGATCTTAGAAAATTAAACATTACATGCTATTTAATTACATTATGCTTATGTGTCACTTCCAAGCTGTTAAATAATTGTTCAGATTTAATATTTGTAGAACAGTTTCATAGGCTATACATTTAAAAAGATCGTCAGAGTCTAATTTTAGCTCAGTGTTTCAGATTCTACATTTAGTTCAGTGTTTTTCATAATATTCCATAAAATGCCTGTTTTTATCATGGATGTTCTTGGAGTTACTTTTGTAAGTTTTTATATTGTGAGTTTGAATTTACTTTTGGATCATCCTTGAAGTTATTAGGTTGTCAGGAAAGTTGTGACATATTTTTCTATGCAGAAATGTCTCGTGACTGTCCCTGTGGCCGAGTAGCATTGGAATACCAAGTGAAAACATACTTTAATCACTTATTGTGTAAGCGTAGGCTTTATAAACACTGAGCTACTCCCGGTTCGTGTGCTTGTTTCCGTTTGATTTTTACAAGCCCTTCTTAGTTTTTATTCCCAGGTTTAGTCCAGTGGTGTCCCCATTCAGCATTTGGCAGAGAGTGTTTTTCAGAATACTAGAATAAGAAACATGAACGCTGTCATGTCAGCACACGGCGTTTAGCTAACCTTTTGAGCCGTGGGTTAGAGCCCAGGGAGGTAGAAACCAAAATGGCTAACTCTCGTCTTAAGCCATATCTGGCAATCAGTATGACAGAAGACACTTTGGCAGCTACTTACATGATCGATGTCAGATCTTAAGTGAGCTGATCCTCACCACCCCTTAGAATAGGAAATATGGTACTAGAAAATACAATAGATTAAGATTTACTTATTCCTTTGGTCTTATTCAAAATGAGCTTTTTTTCTATGTTTAATCAGGTAATTTTTGGTAAAATTGGAGAAAGGAATATTACGGTAGAGCAGACTTCCAAGTTCGTATAGATGAGAAGTCCCCGTCTGGGAAACGTGGGCTATCTGGGATCCAGTCTCAGCAAGGCCTGGGCACAGCAGGAGTTACGTGCCAACGCTCATCTGTGGCTGCATTTCTTGACGGATAATCCGTTGGAAAACTGGATTTTTTCCTCTGATGAAAATGTTTGAATATTTAAAATGGAGAATGAAAGTTAGCATGATGGGTTTAAAAAGCCGAGTTGTGCGAATGTAGGATGTGGATAGCAGGTGCAATGATTTCTTTAACGTACTTTGGAGTGAGTCGTCCCTGTGGCCTTAACATCGTTCCTATTTTCTTTTCCTTCGTAGAGCTCAGATGCTCCTGGATCAGTACCGAAAGAAGTCAAAGCTGTTCCGTACTAAAGTTCTCCTGGCCCCACTGGGAGATGATTTCCGCTACTGTGAAAACACAGAATGGGATTTACAGTTCAAGAATTATCAGCAGCTTTTTGATTATATGAATTCCCAACCGAAGTTTAAAGTGAAGGTAATGAGCAAATATTTATTTATGAAACTTGTTTGAGGTTGAGCCTTCACTATTAAATGGAGCAGTGACTTAGTATTCTAGTTCCTTTGTTCTTCATCCCAGAATTTCTTAGAATATGTCATTTGTGGGGCCAGTTGGTGGTGAATTAGGGTACTAGACTCCCACATGGCCAACCATGGTTCAAGTCCTGGGCCTGGTGGTTCTTTTCCTTCGTAGAGCTCAGATGCTCCTGGATCAGTACCGAAAGAAGTCAAAGCTGTTCCGTACTAAAGTTCTCCTGGCCCCACTGGGAGATGATTTCCGCTACTGTGAAAACACAGAATGGGATTTACAGTTCAAGAATTATCAGCAGCTTTTTGATTATATGAATTCCCAACCGAAGTTTAAAGTGAAGGTAATGAGCAAATATTTATTTATGAAACTTGTTTGAGGTTGAGCCTTCACTATTAAATGGAGCAGTGACTTAGTATTCTAGTTCCTTTGTTCTTCATCCCAGAATTTCTTAGAATATGTCATTTGTGGGGCCAGTTGGTGGTGAATTAGGGTACTAGACTCCCACATGGCCAACCATGGTTCAAGTCCTGGGCCTGGTGGCTTGCTTTCTCACTTTCTCTCTTTCACTCTCAGTTTCTCTCTGTCAAATTAAGAAATAATCATAATAAATAAAGCTAAATAAAATACTTCTGAAAAGAGAAATACGAAACCTTTAAGAATGCACGTACTTTGTGAAGAAGATGGTCCTGTAGTACAGTTGTGCTGTTATTTTTGGAGACTTCCTGTTTTTCTACCACATGGGAGTTTATTGTCTGACAGTTGCATCCCTGTGGTTTAGCAGCATGACTGGCAGATGTAGATAAACATGTCAGGAGCTTTGCAAACAAATGTCTTGTGTCCAGAAAATACACTCTGATTTTTTTCTTAAGTGAGAAGACTTCTAAAATTAGTCATATGCCTGCATGTTTTCTTTCTTTTTTTTTTTTTTCTGCTAAAGTTTTGAGAACAGGGCACATGGTCCCATCGGTCCCATTGGCGTGGCTCAGCTAGAACATCCACCAGGTTAGGGCCGCCCTGGTATCAGCCAGGTTCCACCCAGTCTCATCCCTCCCCCAGGGTGTGCTTTGGAGGAAATCTCAGATGCCACGTAGTTCCTTCTGTAACTATTTCAGGATGTATATCTCTGCATGATGAAGATTCTGTTAACAAAATATAATCATAACACAGTTATTATACTGACTAAACGAATGATAATTCAATAACCTATATCTGGATATGTTTAGGTTTTCCTGATCACCTAAGGACATTTTGTTAGCAAATGCTTTGCTTGAATCAAGGGTCAAATAAAAGTCACGCACCACCTCATGGGACTACCTACGTGACGCGTGGCCTGTGAGATGACTGTGGAGCTGAGGATCCCTGTCACCTACTGGTGTGGCACAACTCGTCCCTCGCGTGTTGGTGGTGGTGCTGGCTTAGACAAACCAGCTGTGTGGCACACCACGTCCGAGCTGTCATGAGACAGCTTTATTCACACCTCACAGTCTGCACCGTGCCCTGCCCAGTGCAGAAGCTGCACACTGGACCTAGCCCCCTGCCCTGGTGGAGCCCTGCCTGCCCCTCAGGATAGAGCGTAGCCCCACGATGTTCGCACACCTGCAAACCGCCCCAGATGCAGTTCCCAGACTGCCTCACTGGGCAGCGTGTGGCTGTGTGGCCTTTATTTGGTTAAGTTGTCTCTTAAAGTCTCATTTTTTAATGCATTTTAGAGATGTATGTAAGAAAAGCAATGATTCATTATTCTTATATTCACACACTGACCTTTTAGACAGGAGAAGATCTGTGACTATCCTACAGAGAGGAGGTGATGTTACTGGGAAGGACATTAGTACATTGGCGATGGGCCCCAGCTTATGTAGTAAAAGTGCAGTTTCATTAAATAAACTTCAGTACAGGCCGAACATCCATCATCTGAAAATCCAAAATCGGAAATGCTCCGGCATTTGAAACTTTCTGAACACCAACATGACACCGTACGTGAAAAATTCCACGTCTGGCGTCACATGATGGTTCTTAGTCAAAATACTCCAAGACAAAAATCTGGGATGAAATTACCTTCAGATATGTGTATAAGGTGTACATGAAACATAAATGAATTTCCTGTTTAGACTGGGGTTGTCTTCCCAAGATATCATGTTACATATACATAATTTTCCCCAAATCTAGAGCCAGGCATGGTAGGGCATGCCTATAGTCCTAGCTACTCCTCAGAAGGCTGAGACAGGAGGATTTTTCAAGTTTGAGGCCAGCTGGGACAACCTAACAAGAGCTTGTCTCAAAAAAAAAAAAAAAAAAATTCAAAAATTGAATATTTCTTGTCTCAAACATTTTAGATAAGGGGTATTCAACCTGTAGTAGTGAATAGATAAATAAATTTAAATAAATATCAAGTTTATTCAAGATATTTATAGCTCAATTTCTACCAGATTATAAACTGAGCATAAGGATTATGTTTAAAGCATCTCTGTACTTCCTCATAGATGAAGCTCATCCATGAATATTTGATCAGGGGACCAGCAGTTAGTGTAATGGCTATGTTGCTGGGCTCAGTCAACCGTAGTTGACTGCGGTTCAAGTCCCAGACCCAGTGGCTTAAACTCACGCCGGGCGCGTGTGCGTGCGTGCACCTAAGATCCCAAGAGGAGAAGGGATTGTGGTGTGACCATCCCCCCGGGGGGTGATTTCTCACTTTCTGTCTCTATGTCTCTCTCTATCTGTCTGGCGAGCGCACGCGCCCTATGGTGAAAACCTCTTACAAAAAAAAAGAAAGAAAAAAAATTTGATCAGTAGAGGAATCTGTGGGTATTTTGTCTTTTTTTTTTTTTTTTTTTTTTTTTTTTTTGTACATTTTTTTTGATGGGGCGCGTGGCGTCTAGGGCGCATGTGCTTGCCAGAGAGACAGAGAGACAGAAAGCAAGAAATCAACCTCCAGGGAGGATGGCCATGTCACAATCCCTTCTCCTCCATTCTCCTCTTGGGATCTTGGGCACGCATGCACACCTGCCCAGTGTGAGTTTAAGCCACCGGGTCCAGGATTTGAACTGTGGTTAGTCAAGTGGGAACCCATCGCCTTAACCACGTCATTACCTGCTAGCCCCAGTTTATTTCTTTTTTTAAAAAAGTTTATTTATTACTTCGTGAACAAGAAGGAGAGATGGCGAGGAAGGGCAGTGCGTCTCCTGGGGCCTCGCTGTGCCACCGTCCTCCGGTCCAGCTAGCCAGGCAGGCTCAGGTCAGCCCAGAATGTAAACACAGGACCTCCCCACATGCCTCTGGTGTCACACAGTGACACACGACTGCCGCCTGTGCCCCACGGCTGAGTCTCAACCTTCTAATGCTGTGTAGTACCCTACGGCCCCACGTGTGTGAGTATGCAGGAGTAAAACAGGGCTGATTCCGGATCAGTGGGCTCGAACATGTTTAACTGTAGTCTGTAGTGCCAACCAGTATTCAAGACAGGTGTCCATGGTCAGCTTCAGTTGCTCAACTCTCTTACTCGGACTTTGTGTTGTCAAGGTTTGTTTTATTTTTTCATTTTTATTTTTTGATGCAGTGGTTTTGTATTTCCTTGATGGTTAATGAGGTTGAGTCGCTTTTCAAAAGTTTATTGACATTCCAGTATCTTCTTTTATAAAGTATCTTTTTAAATTTTCGATGATTTTAAAATGAAATAAGCTTGTCTGCCTTTGTCTTAATGTTGCTAGCGCTTTTATATTTTTTGGATTGACTCTTCAGATAAAAGTTATGCAAATATCATCTGCTGCTGTGTAGCCTGTTTTTCCTTGCTTAGGCCGCCTTTTGGCGAACAAAATTCTTGAGTTTAGTTAAATCTAATATAATTTTTTAAAAAGCTTAGTGCTTATGTTATGCTTAAGAACTTGCTTATCCTATGGCCATGAGAGTATATTTCTCATGAAACTGTCATCCTAAAACGTTTTGTTTACCTTCAGCGTTTAGTTTCATGATTTCTCTGGAAGGAAGTGCAGTGAATAAATGGGATAGGAATCAAGATATATTTTTGTCCCCAGGGTTAAAGAGCACGATTTACTGAGAAGACCATTGTTTCTGACCATCACGTTTATCATTACTCCTAAGTGAGGCTGCATTTGTGTGGCTCTGTGTCTAGACTGTTTAATTTTACTCGACTGCTCAGCTAATCTCGCACTGTCTTCATTGCTGTTGTGTTACGATATTTTAACATCTCATGCAGCCATCTTCCAGTTTTGATCTCCTTCTCGGCATTAGTTATTAGTTCTCTGTAGGTCGATACAGGTTTATGTCAACTTCTTAATTTCTGCACGAAAACAATTTGGAGCATTCTGGTTGAGATTGCACTGACTCTGTAGTTTAATTGGAATATAATTAGTTCCTTACAAATAGTGGGTCATCCAACTCATGAACGGAGTTTGTTTTATGTATAATAACATCCCTGACTTCTGCATTTTAACCTGCATCCAGTAATCTTGTTGAATTTATTTATTAATTGTAGTCATTGGTGGATTCCTTTGTGTATGAATAATGGCATACAGTAGCCCCCCCTCTTAGAAATAGAGATGTATTCCAAGACCCCAGTGGACGCCCGAAACTGTGGGCAGTACTGAGCCCTGTGTGTCTGGCATTCTGATCAGAGAGCCGAGGTGGCTGTAGTAACTTCCGGTAGGTGGCTGATATCACTGGGTTACGTTGGACGAAGGGGTGGTTCTTGTCCAGGGTGAGGTGTAGCAGGGAAGCGTGAGATTTCGTCCCCCTCCTTAGACTGGCTTGCAGTTTAAAACTTATAAATTGTTTATGTCTGGAGATTCCCATTTACTCTTTTCAGATTGTTGTTGATTTTGAGTAACGGAAACTCTGGAAAGCGAAACCGTGGAAAGGGGGCACCACTGTAATTCTGTCTGCTTCCCGAAGCCTCGAGCCTTTCCGTCGATTTCGTTGCCTTTATGCCTCGGCATAATGCTGAGTAGAAATGGCGCCAATGAATCTATTCTTCTAATCATGGTGTTTGCTGTAGGATTTTGTAGATTCCTTTATCTGAGTAAGGAATTTTCTTAGTATTTATTTACAGAGTGTTTTCTCTTGGCCAGGTGCTGAATTTTACCCATAGCGTTTTCCGGGGCACTGCTTCCTACTAGGCTGTCATGTCTTGTGCTGTGATTGGACGGCTATCCCAAGGTGGGGCCACGGTGCATTTGGAAGTATTTCCTTTCTCCCCAGAAATTTGGTACCTTAGGTTCTGGGTGCTTGCTCAATCCTTGGTAATTTAAACAAATACAATTTTTTTTTTTTTTTTAATGTGCACAGTTGATCTAGTTTTATCTATTTTCTGTGGGACATGCAAGGTTACTTTGTGTGGGTCAGCCTGTGGTGTGGTAGTTAAAGTGGTTGGATCCCACATGGCCTGACAGTGCAGCTGAGTCCCGGACCCCCAGGTAGTTAAAGTGGCTGGATCCCACGTGGCCTGACAGTGCAGCTGAGTCCTGGATCCCCAGGTAGATAAAGTGGCTGGATCCCACATGGCCTGACAGTGCAGCTGAGTCCCGGACCCCCAGGTGGTTAAAGTGGCTGGATCCCACATGGCCTGACAGTGCAGCTGAGTCCTGGACCCCCAGGTAGTTAAAGTGGATCCCACATGGCCTGATAGTGCAGCTGAGTCCTGGACCCCAAAGTAGTTAAAGTGGATCCCACATGGCCTGACAGTGCAGCTGAGTCCCGGACCCCCAGGTAGTTAAAGTGGCTGGATCCCACATGGCCTGACAGTGCAGCGGAGTCCCAGACCCCCAGGTAGTTAAAGTGGATAGTGCAGCTGAGTCCCGGACCCCAAGACTTGAGAAACAAGCCAGGTGTGTGTGTGTATGTGCCCAAATCCTGAATGGAGGGAGAGAGGAGGGAATGGTGGCAAGACTGTTCCCAATGGGGGAGGAGGTTCTCTCTCTCTCTCTGTGTCTTTCTCTCTCTTTCTTTCTTTTTCTGGTGAGTGCACATACCCTCTGGCACATGATTTTAAAAAAAGTATTTTAAACTGGATGCATACATTGATTATTTCCTTTTAATGAAAGGGAAAACAGAAGTAAATAATTGAGTTCTGCCGGCCAAAATATTGATGTCAATCAGCCAAGATAGTTAGTTTGCCACTGGTCATTACTTATTTAATAATTTATGTAGTTTTTGCTAATAGAGATATCTTACATTTAAGGTTGAATTTGTTGTCTTTTCATATGTAAAAATCATTTAAACCTTTTTTTAGTGTCCCAAGGTATTTATAGAAACTACCAAGAGACTGCCTAGGAAATTTTATTTTAATTACTTTAGAAACTGCTGCTGCACTTAGAGAGGATTATTTTTCGATTCTTTGAGATCAAATTAAGTTTGTGAGGAAGTCCGCTAGGCTGCTTATTTATCTAAACTTTGCACCAGGATGTTGACAAGAACTTGGAAGTGGCTTTATCTTGGCACATACCAAACATAAATTGAAATAAATGTGTTTCCTATAGCTAAAATTGAAAAAACAATTCAATTTATTTTTGGTATGAGCCAAGCTAAAACCTCTCCCTTCTTGGCAACATCTTTGTCTGTTCACTGGAGACAGAGAGAGAGGGACAGGGGAGTGAGAAAGCCTCTTCCCATATGGCCACCCCACAATCCTTTTCTTTCCATTCTTGAGATTTTGAGCAACCATGCACATGTAGCTGTCATTAATATTAACTTTGTAGCAATCTATGGATTCCTAATTTTCAAATGCAAAGATACTTTCGTATCTAAATAGAATGATTTTTTTATACATATGAGGAAGGTGAAACTCAAATATTTAGATCATTGAATATTTTGCCATTTTTATTATATGTATTTCCCGAGCTCAATCTGTACTTGTTGAGTATGAAGTTAATTGCATATTTCATTCTGTTTGTGACCCTCATTTTTTACATAGTCATTCGCACACAAGTATATTTTGCTGCCTAATAATGCTACTGAGTAACAATACCTGTATGTTAGCCAGAATTGTATTCAGTGCTTATATTTGCCTTTAACTGTTTTATGTGCTTTACTTGATTTAGCTTAATTTTCCTGGTAGATATTATGATTACTCTCATTACGCTGGGTTGTTGGAAAAGTCATGACTTTTTAAAATGTTTTTCTATGCAAAAATGCATCGTGACTTTACCAACAACCCAGTAGATGAGGTGACTGAGACCCATATAAATTATAAACACTTGGGAAAACCAAGCAAAGAGTAGATAGTACAGTTGAAAATGGATTATCTGTGATACAAACATAAAGACTGAGAAATGAGTATCTGTTTTTCTGTAACACTTTAGTGTAGCACAATTAGATTATAGTAACTTGTATTGACCTTCTATCTATCTATCTATCTATCTATCTATCTATATAATTTTTTTTTTTGAGAGGTATTTGATATAGGACACGTGCGCTTTGCCAGAGAGACAGAAAGCAAGAAATCATCCTTCGGGGGGATGGCCACAGCGCAGTCCCTTCTCCTCCATTCTCATCTCAGGATCTTGGGCACGCTCGCACACATGCCTGGCATGAGTTTAAGCCACCAGGTTCGGGAGTCGAACTGTGGTTAACTACATGGGAGTCCAGCAACATAGCCATTATACCAACTGCTGGTCCCTTCCTTGCTAATATGTTGTATATGTTTCCAGTTGAAAATTTATTTTTGCAGTAGTTAAAAATCACACTGTTACTTGCCAGTCATGGTTCTAAGAATATTTTGAAAAGGGAACCAGCAGTTAGCGTAATGGCTATGTCGCTGGACTCCCACGTAGTCAACTGCGGTTCGCGTCCTGGACCTAGTGGCTTAAAACTCACGCCGGGCGCATGTGCGTGTGCGTGCGTGCCCAAGATCTCGAGAGGAGAATGGAGGAGAAGGGATTGCGGCGTGACCATCTCCTCTGGGGGGTGATCTCTCTCTCTATGTCTCTCTCTCTCTTTCTGGCGAGCGCACGTGCCCTATAGAGAAAACCTCTCCAAAAAAAAAAAAAAAAGAATATTTTGAAAATAATTATTTTATTTTGTTATTATTATTATTGTTTTAAAATTTGCTGTAGGACACGTGCACTCACCAGAGAGACACAGAGAGAGAAAAAAAAGTGAGAAAGCAAGCTGCCAGGTTGGGACTTAAAACCATTGTCAGCCACATGGGAGTCCAGCTCCCTTACCACCTGCTGGGCCCAGGTTCTCAGCCTTTTACTTAGAACGCTATTTGCTGTAAGTTGTAGAGACACAGTTCAGACCTGTGCTGTTGCTGCGTTGAGCCAAAATGATTTGCAATATCTGTGTGGGTGTATAAAGCAGGAAATACAACAATATCAGCATTTTTCTATTAAAACGAACACATTCCATGTTGAATAATCTACTTATTTTTAACAAGACTGTTTTTTAATATCTAGTCACACGATTTGGTGTAGCATTTTCTTTTTCTTTTGAGTTGTAGAACAGTTTGGACTCATTGGATTCATAGGCTAGTAATTTAAATCATTGGGAAAACCTGTGCATTTGAGCACTCAGCTTTGCAATTCTTTTTATTCTTTGGGTTTTACTTGACTTCTGGTGGAGAAGATGCATTTTTTTTTAAACGGTCTTCTCTTAAAGGCTCTCTAGGCTCTCCCTCTTCCTTACAAGAACTCAGCTGAGAGGGATGGAGGTTGGAAAGGGGTGTGTGTGTGTGTGTGCGCGTGAGTGTGAAGTACTTTATGGCTAACAAAGCTGTTTTTCCAGACTTCTAGACTTTTAAAATGTTTTGATGAAAATAGGTAGTATTTTTTTCTTTTTTTTCTTTTTTTTTTTTCCTTTTCCTGCTGCTGCTCCCATCATTTATTCATCTGCATTACTCCACATACAGGTCCTGGCACACTTTGAAATTCTAGACATATGTGACGAGTTTTCAGATTCCCAAATATATAGATCTCAATTGCTCTCCTTCTAACTGCTTCAGTGTACAGGTTTTCCCTTACTTTAATTTGTTTAATTTGGATTTTGATGCAAGCAGAAGAAATAGTCACGGATATTCCCCCTCCAGCGCTTCATTTTGCAAAATGTGAGCTGTATGTTCATCTCAACGAGGAAGCACTTCTTAAATATTTATTAACTTTTCTTTCCAGTGTAAGAAGTGAGTAATTTTAAGGTAAAAACGAATCATTGAAGGGTACTTTTTTTAAAACCAGATTCAGTTTGGAACTTTATCTGATTATTTTGATGCACTGGATGAAGCCACTAGAGATGTGGGAAAGAATCAGCAGTCGGCGTTCCCCGTTGTCAGTGGAGACTTCTTCACCTACGCCGACCGAGACGACCATTACTGGAGTGGCTACTTCACATCCCGACCCTTTTACAAACGCATGGACAGAATCATAGAGTCCCATTTAAGGTACGCTTCTAGATAGCTGCTTTCAGACAGTCACGCCTTCCACATTGCCTTTTGTAGAGTTTTGCGTAATACGCATCGGTTATATGGTGTTATGATGTGCTTATTGTAATTGTACCATTTTAATGCAATCAGAGATATGTCTCCCCGTTATAATCAGTTTTTTTTACAAGGGTTTTTGTTCTAAAAGGGAAAGCAGTCTGTGCTTATTGTAATTGTACCATTTTAATGCAATCAGAGATATGTCTCCCCGTTATAATCAGTTTTTTTTTTACAAGGGTTTTTGTTCTGAAAGGAAAAGCAGTCTAGTCAGAATTTCTAGCAGTTACAGTCTCTGTTACATTTTTCTCATTAATGTACCTGCATTATTTGCACACCTTATTAATATTTAGTGATACCATCGTGTCTACCTGCAGACAGTAGTCTATGGGGCGGAATTGTAGGAAACACAGGTGGGAATCAAAGAAACAGATAGGGCTTTTTAGCAGTCTAAAGGTCAGCCTTTTATTATATCTTATTATAATAAAATACATTTATACATTACAGAGAAGTAGGCATTCTTATCCACTAGACTGTCCCTGTTATGTTATTCTGATCTTGGTGTGATACCCTGGAGTAAGTGCCCAATGGGGCAGAGATTCTGTTGGAGTACTGAATTAATGATTTTTAGTTTTAGTTTTTATTTATTATTATTTTTTACATGCAATCACTGTGCATCATCACAGCATATCAGATAAATTTTTTACATGCAATCACTGTGCATCATCACTGCATTTCAGATTCATTTTCCCATCCAAATTACACTGTTATTGGTTCAATTGAAGACATTACTGTACATATTATCATCAACAGGTCATTTTTAAATGTCAAGTATTGTTTAGTAGCAAAGAATTATGAATCAATCTTAATTTATTAAACATACCCAAGACATTGTGGTTATTACTAGTAATATATTTTTGAAATTCTTCTTTAAAATGAAAAAAGCAAAAATCTTTGTAATAGTTATATATTTCTAAATGTATTAATTGATTTGAAAATAAATTTATTGTCTGAAAAAAGTAATATTTCATCCTTATGCTTATTTGTAATATGTGGGTAAAATAGAAGAATATCAAGAAGAAAACATTTCCAAAATCACTTTTTAGTATTTTGTAGTATCTGTATATATATTCTTTTTCAAAACTGATAATATTTGTCAAGGAGACACACACACACACACACACACACAAATACACACACATACATACAAACATTTATACACGGTTTAGTTAATTCAAACTTAGTGATTGTTATGCCATGTTTTTGGAAGTTCGAATTTAAAAGTTAAGATTATTTAGTATCTTAATTCTTTTTACCATTTAGAAGAATTTATCTTTTTTTTTCTTAAAAAAAAAAAAAACAACAAAAAACACTTCTAATACCTCCTTTTTCCTGAATGTAGCTGCAGGCTGTTGGAGCACTGAATTAATCAGACAGCGTGGTTCCCCAATACACAACTAAGTCTGACTGAACGTCGGCAAAAGTAAACTGCAACCTGGCTCCTAAAGCTTTCTCTGTGTATAGCAGAGTAATTCATTTTCAGGATGAATCTTGGTATTAAAAAAAAAATCACACCTCCCCTGTCTTGGGTACTAGTGGGCACTGAGTACAGTTTGGGAAGGCATTGTACAGACCCACGAGGTCCTCCAAGAGTCGTGCTTTCGTACAGAAGCGTGTTTGTATTGTGATTGCACTTGTGCTGCTTTTGTCATTTTTAAAACCCTAAACTTCGTTACCTGGGAGTACCAGAGGAATGCATCTAATTACAATAAAGTAGCATTTATATGTTATAGAGAGGTATGCATTTTTATCTGGTAGAATGTCACTGTTGTGTTATTATATAACATACAAGGTTTTTCTTTTTTATTCTTAGTATGTTTGATAAATCAAGAACTTTCTTAACACTTTTTACTCCACAAAGCCGTGTCTCTCTCTCTCTATTTTATTTTGTTTTAATTTATTTTTTCTGAAAGAGAGACACACACAAGTATCCCAGACGGGGTCCTCACACCATGAGCCACAACTAGCCCGAGGCAGCCCAGACCACAGGTACACGCATGTGCACCTGCTGTACACAGAACCTCTGGGTGTGAACCTGGGACCTTCCCGTGCGTGTGCAGCCTCACGCTTGTGTTACTGCTGTACCACCACTGCCAGCTTGAACCCTGTCTCCTTTTAGAAAACCTTTTTAGAAGTCTATTTTGAGTCGTATCCACTGATGAAAAAAGAAAAGGTGGAAATCATAGGCTCCTATATTCTTGTTCAAAAGTTGTGCTTAGACCCAGGGCTTCTTTTATCCTTGGAAATAAATGGAGGTGCCATTCTGTTCATCACCCTCCAGTTACGTGGTCTCTCTCCGTATCTGTTGTATGTTAGCACCCAGACATGGAGCTGACCCTCGTCCCTGAGCTACTGTGCAACCCTCATCGTCTGCCTCTGCCCTCCGGTTCCTTGAAGTCCCCCTTGTGTGACCAGGCAGCCGGCCACCGTCTCATCCTAGTTACATTCGAGAGGGTCAGTGGCTTTATGGTGAGGGTCTAGGTCCATGTCTGGGCTGCTCTTGGTGAGAAGAAAGAATACAAGGTTATCCTATTCTTTTATTTGTTGCCATCGGGTGCACGTGCTTGTCAGAGAGAAACAGAGAAAGGGAAAGAAATTAGCTCCCTGGGGGATGGCCATGCTGCAGTCCCTTCTCCATTCTGCTGGAATCTGGGACATGCACACACACATGTGCCCAGAATGATTTCAGTGCCCCTGATCTGAACTCGATCAGCATGTGGGAAGCCACAGTCAGACATGTGGGAGCCCCCTGCCTTAACCTCTGAGCCCCCTGCTGGCCCAGTAGTTTCCTCTTCTTACCTCCGCATTCAGCTGTCTCCCTCTGTGCTGTACGTGTGTCTCGCCACCAGCCAGTACTGACTGCTTTCCAGGACCGTCTAGAACAGGGATCTGCAGTGCCAGTGTAGACAAGCTGTTCTCTGGCTCTGGAAATTTAGATAGCCCCGTTAGATGGAAGCCCTGATGGCTTGACAGAAATGCTGGTTACCAGTCTCTTTTCTGTGAGTCGTACTGCTATTGTGGATTTTTTAAAAGCGACGTTTAAATATATCACGTATTTTAAATGATAAGCTGCAATGTTGGTTTGAAATAAACATGAATGACTATTTTACGCGATTAGGGCTGCTGAAATCCTTTACTACTTTGCCCTGAGACAAGCCCAGAGGTACAAGATCAGCGCCTTCCTCTCGTCGTCGCATTACACAGCTCTGACCGAGGCCAGGAGGAATCTGGGGCTGTTCCAGCACCACGATGCCATCACGGGCACCGCCAAGGACTGGGTGGTGGTGGATTATGGCACCAGGTATGTCGTTACCAAAAAGCGGCCTTCGGGCCAGTCTTTAAATTCGGGGGCCTGGCTTACCCATTTTTTTTTGTTTGTTTGTTTTGGAGAGATTTTCACTGTAGGGCGCATGCGCTCGCCAGACAGAGAGAGACATAGAGACAGAAAGTGAGAAATCACCCCCCTGGGGGGTTGGTCATGCCGCAATCCCTTCTCCTCCATTCTCCTCTTGGGATCTTAGGCACGCACGCACACGCGCCCGGCGTGAGTTTTAAGCCACCGGGTCCGGGACACGAACCGCGGTCATCTACCTGGGAGTCCAGCGACATAGCCATTACGCTAATTGCTGGTTCCCTGGCTTACCCATTTTGATGAAACTGTCCATGTGTACCAGAGTACGTTAATGCTCGTGACCGGTCTAAGGATCCCTGCAGTGAAACATCGCTGATTTCCTCTTCTTCTTTTTTTTTTTTTTTGAGAGATTTTTGCTGTCAGGGGCGTGTACTTGCCAGAAAGCCGAGAGACAGAGAGACAGAAAGTGAGAAATCACCCCCCAGGGGGGATGACCACGCCGCAATCCCTTCTCCTCCATTCTTCTCTCGGGATCTTGGGCACACGCGCACACTCGCCTGGCATGAGTTTAAGCCACCAGGTCTGGGACTCGAACTGCAGTCGACCACATGGGAGTTCAGCAACATAGCCATTACAGTTGGTAACTGCTGGTCCCTAAACATCGCCGATTTCGATGCACTTCTCGAGAAATCTGTTGACGGAGGTCTTCCTGCTTCAACTTTTTATTGCGGCTCATTTCTGTGAATGGAGTAGTAAAATATTACTATAGAGCTGATCCTGTTTTCTCCTCAGTACAGCGTGGTAATCAGGGTTATCTTCTTGACCAGGGATTTGGCATCAAATAGATCATAGCTACAATCCAAGGAGACGAAGAGCCACACTTCATTGCATGTCAGTTTCATCTCATCCTAGTTTACATCGGTTTCCTGAATACCCTTCCTTCCTTCCTTCCTTCCTTCCTTCCTTCCTTCTTTCCTTCCTTCCTTTCTTTTTTTCAGGTTTTTGTCATAGGGCATGTGTGTGCACTACAAAGTGGGGGCAGTGAGAAATCACCCCTGAGGGGGATCGGCCATGCCACAGTCCCTTCTGCATTCTCCTCTCAAGATTTTGGGCACGCACGCATACACTCCTGGTGTGGTTTTAAGCCTTGGGTCTGGTACTCGAGCTGCAGTCAGCCCAGTGGGAGCACATTAACCACCACGCCACCTGCTGGCCTGGATACTTTTTCGTTGTAAGTGAAACATTGACAGAAAAAAATAAAATAAATAAATAAATAAATAAATAAACTGAGAAGCATAGCCAAGAGGGACCTGGAAATCTTACCATACATGGATGCTCTGAGAAATTTGCAGTGAGAAGGAATGGCCTAGATTTTGATATCCAAACCATCTTGAACTCATTATAGGACCATCAGGTGAGTGAGGTTATAGAAGCTCAATTATTTCTATATTAAAGAATTAAAAATGACATCAGCAGATGGAGTAATAGTTATGTCACTGGACTCCCGCATAGTTGACTGCGGTTTGAGTCCTGGACCTGGCAACTTAAAACACATGCTGGGCACATGTGTGTGCATGCCCAAAATCCCAAGAGGAGAATGGAGGAGAAGAGTGCAGCATGACCATCCCCCCTGGGGAGGGGGGGCGATGTCTCATTTTCTGTCTCTCTGTCTCTCTCTCTGTCTCCTGTGAGTGCACACACCAAATAGCAAAAACCTTAAAAAAAAAAAAAGAATTTAAAACAGTAAATACAGGCTTTGAATAGTAGAGGATTTTGTAAACAGTATTTCTCAAAAAGGGAAGAGCTGATCTTTTATTGCAGTGAGGGCTTGATAATGCCAGACTTTGGGTAGGCATTAGGGTCAGTGCAGAGGGGGTTCCTATATTGGGAAGGAGTTTTGACTTTTGTTTCTCAGTAGGAGAGACTCTTATTTCTTCTACCTTTTCTTTTTTCTATTAGCAGCGGTATACTTTGATAATATTTTACAATAATTAAAATATACTGTGATTTTTTATAGATTTAAAAAGTGAACTTTTGATTTTATATACTTGTATAGGTGAGAAGTATGCACAACACATCAAATCAACATTGAAAAACTGGCCCGTGACGGAAACTCTGAATTGTAGTAAATATTAGTTAAATTTTTAGTTAGGGTATTTTTGAGTAACTTTCTAAAAATTAGGGGAGAAAGACATTTTGGGGGTTGTATTAATGGAGTTACATCTTTTACCTGGATACCTTCTCAGTTTTTTGTGGCAATTGTGTTTGGCATCCGTCTGTTGAAGCCGATCTGATCTTAAAGTAGAAAACGCTGGTCAGAGGGTGATGGTCTTGGTATTTCTCCTGCAGAAAGCATTTTGAAAAGTAAGGTCAGATCCTTCATTTTTCCCTTTCACCTGCTCCTGCCCTCCTGGTTTATTGAGAGTCTGACCGTGAAACTGCTTCGAACCAGACCAGAACCCCGCTCCGCAGAGGCCACGGAGAGGTCGTTCCCCACCTCTGCCTCCTTGCTTTTCTTTGGTTACCTTCCAGAAGGTTGGGAACAAGTCATTCAGATTTCGCTGTCAAACTTTTTTATCTCATGATCTATTGAGGAGCCCTGTCATTAGTTCTTCCATATGTTTCTTACTGCTTTTAGTTTACAAAAACAGCTCTATACAGATTTGTATGTTAGAGGGAAAAAGCAGTAATTCTCAAATTGTTCTTGACATTTGTAAATTTGATTTGTGAGCACTTCACACTGCACCGGTAAGTCATAAACAGTTATCAAGTCATTAATGCAGTCATGCTAAGTAGGAGATTTCAAAACGGGTTGGAGCACCAGAAACAGGCAGCATTGGCTGTTCCCTTGTGCTTGGGTTGGGGACTGCTGTTCATTCGGATCTGGCAGGA